CTTTCTTTTTTTTTTTAAGATTTTATTTATTTGTCAGAGAGAGAGAGCAAGAGTGAGCACAGGCAGATAGAATGGCAGGCAGAGGCAGAGGGAGAAGCAGGCTCCCTGCTGAGCAGGGATCCCGATGTGGGGCTCGATCCCAGGACGCTGGGATTATGACCTGAGCCGAAGGCAGCCGCTTAACCAACTGAGCCACCCAGGCGTCCCGATAACTGTCTTTTTCTGATTGACTTATTTTGCTCACCATAATACCCTCTAGTTCTACCCATGCTGTTGCAAATGGTAATATTTCTTTTTTTTTTTCTTTTTTTTTTTATGGCTGAGTAATAGTCCATTGCAAGTACGCACGCACACACACACACACAAAAAACATCTTCTTTATCCGTTCATTTGTCTATGGCGATCTGGACTTTTTCCATAGTTTGGCTGTTGTGGACATTGCTGCTATAAACATCGGGGTGCAAGTACCCCTTCAGATCACTACATTTGTATCCTTTGGATAGTAGTGCAATTGCTAGGTCATAGGGTAGCTCTATTTTTAACTTTTTGAAGAACTTCCATGCTGTTTTCCAGAATAGCTACACCAGCTTGCATTCCCACCAGCAGTGTCAGAGGGTTTCCCTTTCTCTACATCCTCCCCAACATTTGTTGTTTCCTGAGTTGTTAATTTTAGCCATTTTGACTGGTGTGAGATGGTATCTTACTGTGGTTTTGATTTGTATTTCCCTATGCCAGGTGATGTGGAATATTTTTTTATGTGTCTGTTGGCCGTTTTTATGTCTTCTTTGGAGAAATGTGTGTGCATGTCTTCTGCCCATTTCTTGATCGGATTATTTGTTTTTTGGGTGTTGAGTTTGATAAATTCTTTATAAATCTCAGATCCCACCCCTTTATCTGATAAGGGGTGCATTTGCAAATACCTTGTTCTATATGTTGTTTTTTGGTTTAGTTGACTGTTTCCTTGCTGTGCAAGAGCTTTTTATCTCAAGTCCCAGTCGTTCATTTTTGCTTTTGTTTCCCTGCCCTTTGGAGATAATGTCTTGCAAGATGTTGCTGCAGCCCAGGTCACAGACATTGCTGCCTGTGTTCTCCTCTAGAATTTTGGTGGAGTTCTTTGAAAAAAGTGGATGGTATTTTGATAGGGATTGCATTGAATGTGTAGGTTGCTCTAGGTAGCATAGACATTTTAACAATATTTGTTCTTCCAATCCATGAGCATGGAATGTTTTTCCATTTCTTTGTGTCTTCCTCAATTCCTTTTATAAGTGTTCTGCAGTTATTAGAGTACAGATCCTTTACCTCTTTGGTTAGATTTATTCCTAGGTATCTTATGGTTTGGGGTGCAATTGTAAATGGGATCAATTCCTTAAATTCTCATTTTTCTGTCTCATTGTTAGTGTATAGAGATGCAATGTGCATTGATTTTGTATCCTGCTATGTTGCTGAATTCCTGTACAAGTTCTAGCAATTTGGGGGTGGAATCTTTTGGGTTTCCCACACAGAGTTATCATGTTATTTGTGAAGAGTAGAGTAAAAGTTTGACTTTTTTGCTTATTCAAATGCCTTTCATTTCTTTTTGTTGTCTGATTGCTGAGGCTAGGACTTCTAGTAGTATTTGACAATGATAGTGAATTTAGTATATTCTTTTACCTGTAAGGTCACTGTTTCTGTAGATTGTCTCTGTTCCTTTCTGGTCTGTTACTTTTGGGCTCTCTTTCTCCTTAAAGAATCCCCTTCAATATTTCTTGCAGGGCTGGTTTAGTAATCACAAATTCTTTTAATTTCTGTTTGTCCTGGAAGCTTTCTCACTTATATCTCCTTCTATTTTGAATAACATCCTTGCTGGATATAGTATTCTTGGCTGCACATTTTTCTCATTTAGCACCCTAACAAAGATGGTCTTTATCTTGACTGAAATGATTATACAGATATATGCCTATGAAGCTATGGACAAGAATGCATTTATCAAACCTCATCAGTTGTACACTTAAGATCTGTACATTTTAGTTATACATTTTGCCTCAGTAAAACTAGAAAGGAGCAGTAAAGACAAAAACTGGAAAGTTTGAGGCACCTGGCTGGCTCAGCCAGTTAAGCGTCTGTCTTCGGCTCAGGTCATGATTTCAGGGTCCTGGGGTTGAGTTCCGCATCGGGCTCTCTGCTCAGCAGGGAGTCTGCTTCTCCCTCTGCCCCTTCCCCTGCCACCCTCTCTTGGTGCACGTGCATGCTCTCTCTCTCTTTCTCTCAAAAATAAATAAATAAAATATTTTTTTTTAAAGCAAATCTGGAGAGTTTGTCACTTACGTCATTTGAGAGTCCTGTAACATTTCATGTAGAAGGAAAGTGGTCAGATATAGAAAGTCTTAAGAAGCAAAGAACTAAAATATTTATAGCAATAGCATATAAAACAGGAGCAAACTTATTGGTATTAATATGTTCTAAAGTCCTTGTATTGCTCCAGAGGATGATAGTGGTCATGATTACCTTTGTACTTTAATATGTTAAGTGTGCATGCTTAAGGATAAGATAAAGAAAAGAAATAGACTGTATAATTTCTAAACTAGTAGGGAAGCAAACTGAAAAAGAATCCAAGAGAAGAAAAAGAAAAAACAGAGGAAGTGGGGAAAATAGAAAACAAAAAATAGATGGCAGAAATAAATCTAAATACATGAGTAATTATAACAAATATAATTAGACTAAATGCTTCACTTGAAAGAAAAATGTTGTCAAACTGGATTAAAAATAAAGTATAGCTATATTGTGTTTGTAAAAACATCTAAAACGTAAGGCAACTAAAAAATTGAATGTAATGTTGAGTGAAAATATCACATTGTAGAAAGATACATAACATATAGCTCCACATATGTGTACATCAAAAATATGCAAAACTGTAATAGTATTTTTCTTTTGTGGGAATTCAAATATTACAGAACTATAAAAAAAGGGGGGGAGATAAACGCATAATTCGGCAGTTAATTACCTCTGAGGAGAGACAGATAAGGAAAGGGGATTAGGGAGTGTTTTAAGGTCGTGATATTTCTAAGCTATGTGATGACCAGATGGGTAGGTCATTCTTTACGTTTGCACATATTTATACTTATTCCTTTTAATCTTCTCTGTTTAATAAAAACAGTTAAGAGGAAAGTCTCTTTCATTTATCCAATCAATAATTTTGTAGTAAGTGCTAAATAAAAATTTAGGTCGTGTATAAGTTAATGAAATATCAAGCACATAGCCATGATTTGAAGAAACTTTTAAAGCGGAGATTCACAACAAGCCACCTACAAACCAGATCTTTGTTCTTCTCCTTGTTGATGAATGCACAATACACGGCCAAGATTTAAAAACAAAACAAAACAAAAAAGAATCAGGGAGTATACCCCACTTGAGCAGCCACTTTACAAGACTAAGACCATATATTCGGGCGCCTGAGTGGCTCAGTTGGTTAAGCGACTGCCTTCGGCTCAGGTCATGATCCCGGAGTCCTAGGATTGAGTCCCGCATCGGGCTCCCTGCTCAGCAAGGAGTCTGATTCTCCCTCTGATCTTCTCCCCTCTCATGCTCTCTCTCTGTCTCTCT